GTTGCATAGACTGTCCGGAGCTAAACGACCAACTTCCCCTTGGTACTTGCTGGTGGTGTACCATCTTTGTACCAGTAATTAACAAAACCTGGTAGTATTGCTCTAAGACCCATTTTCTGTTTAACAAATAGTGTTTCTATATGGGATTTGGCAGCAAAACCCCAGACGAGGGAGCAGTAATTAAGGTGAGACTGCACAAAGCTGTGATATATTTGTAAACGTGCTTCCAGAGGCAAATATTTTTTAAGTTTGTACATGACTCCAATGTATCTGGCCATTTTCATTTTCATGGCAGAAATATGTTGCGACCAGTTCAGTTTGTTATCTATTATAACACCTAAGAAACGGGCTTCTGTTTTTCTTTCGATTGTGACACCAGAAATTACTACATCGCGATAAATGAGGTTTCTTTGTCGAGAAAAGATCATATAATTCGTTTTTTAAGATTTAGAGCTAATCCGTTGTTATCTACCCATTTAACTAAGACATCGCTAAGAATTTTGAGCTTATCATAAACCTCGTTTATATTTTCTCCTGTTAGGAAAATGTTTGCATCATCTGCGTACATGATGAAATTAGCTATTTCTGATATTTGAGGAAGATCGTTTATGTAGATTATAAAAAGGAGTACGGTTAGTAGCCACTTGGTGGTTACTAGCCGGTTAGTAGCCGGTTAGTAGCCGGCGAGTGACCGCTTTTCAAGTGCCGGCTAGTAGCCGGTTTAGAACCGGCTACTAATAGGTCTGCTTTAGAGCCGGCTAGTGACCGGTTAGTAGCCGGTTAGTAGCCACTTGGTGGTAACTAGCCGGTTAGTAGCCGGTTAGTAGCCGGCTAGTGACCGCTTTTCAAGTGCCGGCTAGTAGCCGGTTTAGAACCGGCTACTAATAGGTCTGCTTTAGAGCTCGGCTAATAGCCGGCTAGTGACCGCTTAGTAGCCGGTTAGTAGCCACTTTGTGGTCACTAGCCGGCTAGTAGCCGGTTAGTAGCCGGCTAGTGACCACTTTTCAAGTGCCGGTTAGTAGCCGGTTGTTAATGTGAAGTTGAGGAGCTGTTATTACAAAAGTGGCTACTAGCCGGCTAGTAGCCGGTGTTCATATGGTACTGCGCAGGGACGTTGCATAGACGTTGCATAGACGTTGCATAGACTGACCGTGCAGGGAGTGTGCATAGAGTGTTCATTGTGCAGGGACGTTGCATAGACGTTGCATAGACGGTTCTTTTGTTGTTGCACGAACGTTGCATAGACGTTGCATAGACTGTCCGGAGCTAAACGACCAACTTCCCCTTGGTACTTGCTGGTGGTGTACCATCTTTGTACCAGTAATTAACAAAACCTGGTAGTATTGCTCTAAGACCCATTTTCTGTTTAACAAATAGTGTTTCTATATGGGATTTGGCAGCAAAACCCCAGACGAGGGAGCAGTAATTAAGGTGAGACTGCACAAAGCTGTGATATATTTGTAAACGTGCTTCCAGAGGCAAATATTTTTTAAGTTTGTACATGACTCCAATGTATCTGGCCATTTTCATTTTCATGGCAGAAATATGTTGCTACCAGTTCAGTTTGTTATCTATTATAACACCTAAGAAACGGGCTTCTGTTTTTCTTTCGATTGTGACACCAGAAATTACTACATCGCGATAAATGAGGTTTCTTTGTCGAGAAAAGATCATATAATTCGTTTTTTAAGATTTAGAGCTAATCCGTTGTTATCTACCCATTTAACTAAGACATCGCTAAGAATTTTGAGCTTATCATAAACCTCGTTTATATTTTCTCCTGTTAGGAAAATGTTTGCATCATCTGCGTACATGATGAAATTAGCTATTTCTGATATTTGAGGAAGATCGTTTATGTAGATTATAAAAAGGAGAGGTCCCAAAATTGAACCTTGGGGTACACCGTAAATAATTGGATTGGCTGAGGATTCAGAGGATCCAATTGATACAAACTGGTTTCTGTTCATAAGATATGATTTAAACCAGTTTAAAGCTAGACCTCTTATGCCATAGTGCTCGAGCTTATTCAGGAGTATGGAGTGATCCACAAGGTCAAAGGCTTTGCTAAAGTCAATCAAGAGGAGCAAAGTAACTTGCTTTTTAGACATTGAATTGAGAATTCTGTCTTTAGCATTAAGAAGTGCATGTTCACAAGACCTACCTGGGCGGAAGCCGTATTGATTTTCACAAAGAATATTGTAGGTATCCAAAAAATTTATGACTCGATTGTGCATAAGCTTTTCGTAGACTTTTGAGAAAGTGGCAAGTAGAGATATCGGTCTGTAATTTTTGATGTCAGTTTTAGATCCACCTTTATGTACAGGAACTACTTTTGCCGTTTTCAAGGCTTGGGGAAAGACCCCTTGTTCGAACGAGCTGTTAACAACGTGGGCCAATACAGTGGTAAAATTATGACAGCTGTTGGCAATTTTGAGTGGTTGGATTTAAACGGTAAAAAATTATTCTGTTACTCCACAAGTTTCATTATACTCTTTATTTTACCAAAACCCATAATCATGGGTAGAGTGGACCGCTGCCAGTGTCTCTCTTTCCCAAACAAAAGGAAATGATATTAATTTGATTGACCGTTCTCAAATGCAAAATGATACCGAGAATGAAATCGGTCGCTCGCTTTTCCCATTCATTCACGGCTTACGAATTGTATAAATAAGTTTCGATTGATTACATCAATCAGATGCTGTAAAAATCTCTTTGGGTTGCGTTGGGGTCGATACCTAGTATTTCGGGGTAAGGGACAAGGGTGGTAGTTATTACTTATTGAACAAGCTGGAGTTTATTGAATCTTCATTGCCGAGTACAGCTGCCTTTGGGTAGTTCTTCTTAATCTATTACAATTGTAAATGAATGGGAAAAGCGAGCGACCGATTTCATTCTCGGTATCATTTTGCATTTGAGAACGGTCAATCAAATTAATATCATTTCCTTTTGTTTGGGAAAGAGAGACACTGGCAGCGGTCCACTCTACCCATGATTATGGGTTTTGGTAAAATATCATCTCTTTTTGATTCATGATTATAATGTCAGGGTACTTTATAAAGTCGAAATATAAACTGATATCTTCATTAATAAGGAGGAAGTTTCAACAATTTCGAAATTTTTCCTTTAAAAACATATCCTTGTGTTTAGGGAAGCATATCGGTCGATCACTGACTGAATATGCCACTTAATACTTATTCAAGTTGGCATTAAATTCATATATAATGACATTAAACTGTCGTGGCAAAGCAGAATTTGTTGGAAATCACGAATGAGCAAAATTGTCACCTTTCGCACGTGCAAACTTTGAGCGGACGTTGCCTGCGCATCCAATATTGAATCGCCGTAAATTTTTGCATGTAATTGTTTTATATATAGCTTGATAAGCATACAAAGTTTCAAAGTATTTCAAGAAGAACTGTAATCACAACGGCACTCTAAAGTTGACAGAAAATGACGAAAACAGCAATTTTCAGTGATTTTAGCAATTTTCTTTCAATTTGGGCGTGTCCCCACGTGTGCAAATTTTCGATTTTCAACTTTAAAACTAGCCTAATGCACAATTTATACCTATAAGAAGCAGAAATGAGCTCCACAACCCAAGGCATGGCCCAACACCAGAGAATACTAAATCGCAAAATTGACGTTTTTATAAAATAATTCTTCAAAAAAGGACAAACTTCAATAACGAATATCTTTATGAAGGAGCAAGCTAGAAAAACTTTCCGGTAGATTTTCAGAATGCTTGAACAATTATCTAAGATAAAAATTTCCTCAGATTTTGAATAAAATTACATCTTAATGGTTTAAAATTAATTTTAAAAGTTATTACTTTGTCAAAAATCAAGTTTTAAAAACGGTTAACTTGATGACGTCATCAAGGGGTGTTTATGACGTCAAATAATTTTTTTATACAATGTAAACTAAAGTGTAAACAATTATTTGCAAGACCTGTGGTCGGAAATGGCTGTATCTTTTATAGGTACAAATCTACAGACACCTGAATGTAGCCTATAATTGACTGGCAAAGCGTCTATCCCTGAATATATGTATATGTATATGTATGTATCACGACAATCTGTCGTAAAACAGGGGTTCTAGAAAACCCATTTCCCGATGCTCCTGAAACTTGAATCTTTTTTTGCAATCGATTTGGTCAACGTCTAGACGTCCTAAAAAAATTTCAGATCTCTAACTCAATTTTAACATGGTTTTTAAGGCACCTGAATATGGCGATTTTGGGTTTTTTACCGAATTTCGTATAACAGTGCTGGCGAGTATTTTATGCAAATTTCTTAAAAATCTCAACATAACTATTTTTTATTCCTGTCATCTTTGACATCAAATTAGAATGTTTTGAACTAAAAATAAATCTGTCGAACGACTTCCGATGAGTCTTAATGCCTGAAAAACTCCTGCCGGAGGCACGCTTCGCATGCACGAAACACGAAAGAGGCTTGTAACGTGTACCAAAGGGGGTATAATAGTAAAAGGGGTATAATAGTAAATGGGGTACATAGTATACCCACAATAAATGCAACGGTCGTGCTTGCCAGCACTGTGATTATGATAGTTATACTATAATCTTTAGAATTTTATAAAAAACACGATCGCGACTCACCATTCGGCAACGAATATTGCACAACTGTACTAATAGTACTAGTAGTTACTTGGGTACGCGTACCGACTAACGAAGCCGACACGGATTTAGATGAATCCTCAGGTTTTTATAATGGGCTGTGCATGTAGTTGTGCCATGTTGTATCTCCCCATCTCTTTGCAGAGAGTGATTTATTGATACTGATAGGGTGATGTTCCGACTTGATTCCTTTATATTGTATGTTAACTACTCTTTGTAGAATTTATATCATTATAATTATTTTATATTTAGTATCTATCAGTATCTATGGATTTGTTTTCATTAAGTCTCAAGTCTGGCGAGGAGTTACTCATCACTTTGTCCTGAAGTTTCAATTTTTTCATGAAGCAGTGAAATACAGATGTCAAATGCTGAAATGTTGTATACGATAAAAATCTAAAATCATAAAATCAAGTCACAATCCAACGTCTATTGTAGATTCTTCAATATTAATTGCCATAATAAAAGTGTCTTTCCTAAGGCCTAACGAGCATCCGAATAAAATAGTCCCTACCACAGTATATATTGACCACAAAAGGTCTGGAGGTACGTACGTTAAAATAAAAGGATTAATTAAGAACGCAATGGCAGTTCCAAAGAACTTGAGTCCTTTGAGTAACCCAAAGGAAGTGGCTCTGCTTCTAGCAGCGAACAGCTCTAAGCAGTAAAGATCTAGCGTGAAGTCCATGGTGTTGGTGAACAGGACGAGGAGACCAACCTGGGACAGCATGAGACGGTGACTGCCACACATCACCATACTGACAATAACGACCACTCTAAAAGCTGCGGGGGCCCGGTAACTGTTCTTCCTCCCGTATCTCTGTACTGCTATGTACGCTAGCACTGATCCTAAGATGGAACACCCAAATACTGTTACCAGCTCGTCGATACTCGTCACGTGAGTCGCATAACTCGCAGTCTCCTCCATGCACGGCTTTGAATATTGTTCATTCGCAGTGCACACCCCGTTTGAGTTATAGATGATGGGAAACGAGAGATACAATGATGTGGAAGTTAAACCTCCGATAAAAAATAGGAGTATGAGAAGACACCCCACAACCTTGCCGCCCTTATAAAACATGTCAGTGTACATTGCGAATTCAGGCTCCGCATGAATCTCGTCATCATTCTCCAGCTGCATGACACTGAACCTGTTCTGGAACTTTGAACCGGTGTTGGCTCGGATTTTGCTGCTCTGGGAGGGCTCTGGGTAGAGGATCCCCACGATGACTCCCAGAGCCAACAGAACGACCACACTGTTGGAGACAGCAGGCCAAATGTTAGTAGTCCCATCAACCGGAGAATTACTTATAATGAGAGGGACAATGGTGGTGGCAGCGTTTTGTGCAAGAAAGTGTAGGAAGTAGGAGTGGAGTCTGTGTTTAGCTGGACATGTCTCTATCGTGTAGAGCAGGGTGGTGATGTACAGGACACCCATTATCAGGGAGGAGAGACCGCGTGCCACTATGAACAGGGTCGTCTCCATCGAGATCATGCTCACCAACTCTGCAAAAATGGAGGTTTAATAACTAATAAGGTGAAAATAATTGATGATAATAAACAGTGTCCGAAAATTAAATATACGTATGACTGAGTACTGACTTAAGGTGCAGACTCCGCTAACGGACTCTGCTAACAGACTCTGCAAACAGACTCTGCAAACAGACTCTGCTATCAGACTCTGCAAACAGACTCTACTAACAGACTCTGCTAACAGACTCTGCTAACAGACTCTGCTAACAGACTCTGCTAACAGACTCTATTAACAGACTCTGCTAACAGACTCTGCTAACAGACTCTGCTAACAGACTCTGCAAACAGACTCTGCTATCAGACTCTGCAAACAGACTCTATTAACAGACTCTGCTAACAGACTCTGCTAACAGACTCTATTAACAGACTCTGCTAACAGACTCTGCTAACAGACTCTGCTAACGGACTCTGCTAACAGACTCTGTTACCCTGTCTAATGAGCCGGACGGAGACTTAAAATCTGAATTTACATATTCAAGTAGTATATATATAAATATACAGATAGCAGAATTGAGTACGCCATTCAAGAAAATTAGAATATGCATGTAAAATGTAATATGTATAATTAATTTTAACTATTCAAGTTTTTCGTTTAACTTTGTTTTCATATATTCTACGGAACTTATACAATATGAATTAGGATTGTGTGATCACATTTGTTTGGCTAAAAAGTCGCTGCTAGTTGAACTTATACAATATACATGCTACAATAACAAAATTTAAGTTGAAGCTTATGTATAAAAAAAGTTAAATTTTGTAAACCAACCTGCGACAATAGCAAGTAGCGCAGAAACAATAAATACTGGTCTCCTTCCAATCTTATCAATAGCAATGCCACCAACGATAGATCCGATCATGTTTGCCAGTAAATTGGCTGACGGTAAAACACTTTGGTATATGGTTCCCCATTCTTCCGTACAGGTCAACTGTCTCATCAGGAGAGGATACGATAGGTACTGTGGAAGAGGAATTTAGAGGGGTGCAACAAAAAATAGTCGTTCCTGGTCAATAAATTGATAATCTGCTGATCCTCCAAACGTAATGTTAATAGAAAATGAAAGTTCGAAATATCTAAATCCGTTTAAAAGCACGTTGAAACTCACCTCTAACCCGGTGACGAACCCAAAGCTGCAGATAATCAGGATAAGCAGAAGATAAGCTAGACCCTGTACAAGAAAATGTAGCACCTCCTGAAGAGCTACTTCCTGGTCTGCTAGTTGCAGAGCATTTTTCCTGTTCATCTGTGTCACGTACTCAGTCGGGCTGAGGAATAGAGGTTTTTATATTATGAAACACAAGGAAATATTTTGTGAAAAAATGCAAGAAAACATCTTGTGAAACGGAAGGAAATATTATTATTAATTTATTAAATAATTCAGGACTGGTCACTGTTATGTCGGATGTAGTTGTTGTCGGCATGTTTTCCGTTTATTCATCAGAGTGATGATAGAAAGTGGTGATATGTGGCTATCCAAAAATAGAATATAGGTCACATGATCACAAGTCACAACCATTGTATTAAACTAATAGAGTAATAGCAGCGTTCACTGTTCAGTGGTTAAACACTGAAACTTCGAACCATCTCGTTACGAATATATGTATTTTTGCCAATTAAATTTTATTAATGATCAGAATCAAAATTCAGTCTTTAGTGTCTCACTAAACCCCGTCTACCCCAATTTACCGCACATAGCCTGACGATTGAGTGTCCTTCGGCCTTAATTTCTCAACTCTGGGGCTCTTACTAACGACCTTCGGCTTAGGCTCAGCCCTCTTTTTAAATTTAACGAAAGGCATAACAACTCAGCAGCTGTGGATCAGCAAGCAAATCAAATGAAATAAATATCAAGGGCCGGATTAGTATTTTAACTATGGGGTGATCCCACTTTAAGGTCTTCGACAAATTAGGAAGATCGTCGTTTATTTAGCAGGGTGACAAGAGAGGCCGTGGCAAATTATAAATACCGTTATTCCGTAGAATTAAAATGAACGCAGTAACAAACTCAAATATTCAAATACTGGACATTCCAAGGCCACGTAGTTTGATGAGGCTAGTGTTTTTTTGGTCACAACATTGGATTAACCTTGTGTAACCATGTTGAATTAGTGTAATTACTGATTATATTACATGGTTTAAAATGGTAAATGAAGGAGGATTTTATGTGGTACTTAAGGAAAGTTCTAGAAGAGTGGGTGATCAGATTTAAACTCGATTCAAATTCTAAATTTTATATATATCTTGTGAAACACAAGGTAGACCCCATAATCTCTATTTCTAACCACTGGTCAGTCGTGTCGAATGTAGTTGATAATGCTTTCAAACAAGAATAATTGGTATCTTTCGCAATTTCGGAGGTCGGGTTAAGTCTGATGTTTCAATGTAAATTCCCCAATGAACCCCACATTTACCGTACATAGCCCGGTGATCGAGGCCTCGGCCTCGCATAAACGACTCTAGGCTTCTTTTTAACGACCTTAGCCTTCGGCAAAGGCTTCGTTTTAAGCTTAACGAAAGCCATATAGTACTGTATCAACAACCAAGACGAATAACGCTTATACTCAAAGGGTTTGTTAAATGAGGTAGACTACTTAAAGTAGAACTATAGGAAGGGAGGTGTATTTTCTCCTACGAATAACGCTCATACTCAAAGGCCGGTTTGATAAATGATGCAGACTACTTATAGTAGAATTCTAGGAAGGGAGGAGGTGTATTTTCTCCTACAACGGGTCTAATTTTACATTTTATATATTAACGTTATTACTGTACGAATGTTAGTGGCCTTAATTACCGTTATACGGAGGAGTAACTTTGATGGAGAAGACATTGTTCTTATAACAAACTCTGTATGGGAAACAATTACACAATTACAGAATTGACAACAATTACTCAATTACAGAATTGACGCATGAGGTCTCCTGACTGACGTCGCCCAATGTGGGCGGATGTCGGGAATCAAAGGCAGAAAATCAAAATGTCTTGTGCTTCCCACGGAAATGTTATATTATTTATTTATGGTGCAATTAAATTTGATTTTTACGTTAACTCGTGTTCTGGTAGAGTGCTGATTTGAAAGATAACGACTTCAGTTAAGTTGATTACAACGATAATTGGTCACGTTTTTAACCATTGTACGACTTCTTGTTATACACGTCGATAACGGATAATTAATTATATAGTACTAAGCACAGACACGCATAGCACAATCACCAGCCTTAAACAGATAATTGATTTATATCATTTAGTTATAAACAAACCTTACTGACAAGATTAGAGGACATCAATCATCGGGGAGAGCTTACTATGGTATAATATCCACGGTCAAATTAAAAGAGTTTTAGACACAATTATTATAATAACAATACAAAAAAATAACAGCCGTCAATTTGGCGGCGTTTATCAATTTGGCGGCATTATATTGGCGGCAGAGATCCTAGTGGCAGGGGGATGTAACTACTAATAAGTTCGAGAATATACAGGATATGATACATTTATGTGGGTGGTTAGCAGCCGACAAGAGCCGAATTTACTTACAGTGGCTTATTACTCTAAACAATTTAAATATATATATATACTTGTGTGGAGTTGCTCGAGTTCGTGGCCTCAATTACGTCATATCAATTACCTCCTAACGTACCTAATTAGTTAATTAGCATAGCTATGTCAAGGAGAAGAGAAAAGGTTGGATAGACTAAATTGAATAAGTTAAGTAGTAAGATGATAAAATTAGATTATATAAGTGGAAGTAAGTCAAGGTGTCTGGCGTCAAAAGGTTTAGTTCTTTACGTTTAGTGAATTTGATTTTAGTGTAGTGCATTATCTCAATGGTTTGTGCTAGGTCCAAGAGAGCTTCGGATTATTCTAGAAGGAAGGTTTCATAACTCATTAGCTGGCAAGGCCATGACTGACGGTCGTCATATATGAAACAAGATAAGGATGCAATTCAGCACGCGCCTGAAATCTTCATTACGAATTTTTTAAAACTCATATATTAAAGCGCGTTTTCAGGATTACAATGATAGTATAATTTATAGTTTATATTATTTTGATCCTTCAAGGCACACTTTAATTTTAAAGTATACTATAAGCAGTTCATATTAGTATAATCTAGATCTAAATGTAACAATATAACGTTTTATCAATAAAATGTAACTATTTTATTTATTCAATGACAGGGACGACTATTCATGGCTCCTGAAAAGGCAGCGCAAGCTTATCAATATAGTCGCGGAGACGAACGCAAGTAAAACTCCAAGTAAAGAAGTAACATGCAATTTTGAGAACTAAACGACGTACAGTAGTGATTCTAATACTGTTAAAGCATGTGAAGCCATTATTTCACCAGAATGGTGGTGAACAAGGGTTTGTAATGTATAGCGATGAATCAACGTCCGTTAAACTTAACAAGAATTACGGCGGTTAGCGGACGCTAGATTTCCATCAACCGTAGGCATAACTTTTTGCCGACCGTTTTATGTTGGCCAAAATATTAAATAATGCTTCTTCATTCTACATTATTGGGCTGCTACGTGGAATTTTGTACGGATTTTGTAAAGTAAACTTCAAGTTAAAAAAAGAAAAACTTAGAACGTTGCGGGGTTTTGTAATTTAAAACAGCGCGGGCTTTTTTATAGTAAAACTTAAAACTTTGCGGGTTTTGAAATAGTATAAGTTATTCAAAACGGTACGGGATTCTTGTAAAATAAAATTTCATATCGTACATATTTTTGTTATATCGGCTTTTCTGTTCGTTTTTAAATGTTGGGTGGGACTTGGTGTGGTAAATTGTGCGGCAAATGGAAAGGGCGACTTACTGCTTACTTTCTGGCCGCCTAATTTCAGAATTTCTGTCTTATAAAAGCATTACGAGGAACCGAAATGCTTATAAATATTAAAAACTTCAATGAAAATTCCTAGTGTATGTTACATAATGGTTTCTTTGACCGGTGCGGCGGTTCAGGCAAAGAATTTCGAAGTATAAGGTATTTATTTTAAAGATGAAATTTAAAGCTCAAAAAATTGACAATTTGTTGACATCGGTCATACTTGGAGCATGTTTGTCTGTATGTCAGTTTGAGTTTTCAGTCCTTTGTACCATGGTCGGTAAGAATTCAGATAAAACGGAACTAATAAAGAAGCTTACCTGGAGAATTCAGATCCGTGCACATGGTAAGTAAGTCCCCCGTTTGTTCCCATCAATCTATAAGTTAAAGTTAAAATTGTTAGTATTCGTATAAATTAGTTAGTACCTACGAATCGAACGAAACACAGTACTACCCCGCTCCTATGGGGCAAAGATATTTTATAAGATTTTACTAAATAATTTACACAATACGGTGGCCATGTCTGAACGGCTCTCATCAAAATACTTTATCTCCTCATCGGAACAGAAAGTTTAAAACAAACACGGATCTCATAAAATCAAAAATACTTTAAATAGAACTCAATTAATTATTCTGGATGTTTACTCTATCATAAAACTACAGCAGTCAGTGCAAATGGCCAATAAAATGGTTAGGATTATTAGGTACTTGGTCAAACATTAAATCGCTAAATCAGTTCGTCCCATTTTTTCCATTGGTTAATCTAAATAATCAAATTAAATAGAGTTCTTTAATTTATCAACATTAAATTTAAAGCAGGATTTTAAACGATTGTAAGTGGTAAAGCAACTTAATAGTAAGTACTTAGTACATTTATGTTAGAATAGGGATAAATTGGGACAAAGATCATAATAATAAACTCAATCATTCAATTTGGAGGAAGATAGCTAAAGTCGCCATGAATTCGATTGGCAGAGCATACAAAATTAGGACTTGTAGTAAAATAAAATGCCATATTATAATTATATAACTATAAGTACTTTAAGGTGACAATAGATTTCATTAGATAACCATAATGACGAATCTAATGAAGCTGACATCTTAAGTAGGGTGTGTAACTAATTAATAAAGAATGAATGGTGTAATCCAATACATCAATTTTATATCACTCGCCCCAAATTATAAGTAATAGTAATAGAACAGCACCAACAAATTGGGGAGTGTCCTGTAATTATCGGTTAATTATTAATTGTGTTTAAGTCACAGTTAACACCTAGGGTAAACGACATATTTTGGCAGGAAAACTCACGTTAAATGAATCTACATACTTTAGTTTTAATTATAGAAATACTTGGGTTGTGAAACCTTAATACCGTGGTTCAAAGAAATTAGCTTTGTGTGCAAATATTTTTCTTCCAAAATTAGACCGTATATCTTAAATTATCTTATATTATGCTGGATATGTTTCTTGTAACAGATTGTCCCAGATTTTGCACTATGAATTTAACAGGAATTAAACACTATATGAGAATTGCTAATACCCCGAACAAAAATATAATTATTGAATAATTACAGTTAACAGTAAAACATAAAAATAAATGCTCCACTGTGTAACAATTAATCTGAATGTAACAACATTCAATAATAATGCCGTTACTAAAAATATATGCTGTATTGGAAGTAATGAATGGATTATTTAATAACAGTCGCAGTGATTTTGTTGTAAACACCATGCAATAGAGAGAGCCCCCTGCCACTGAGAGATCAAGTATACTGATTTTAAAGTAATCGCTCTCTAATTGAGACCGTCAAAAAGGGGGCATCTTAAGTCGGATGCTTGTGACTAGGGGCATCCGGAAAGAGCGTTATGAATAAATTGAATGCTGATGATAAATATCGCGTGTTTTTGTTGAATGTCAATACGGTTACTCCAACATGCATGCAAACGCAAGATTTCTCCGGAAAAATAAATGCAGTTTCCTTATCGATTTGACGTAATTATGCATCGAAATTAGTGTTACCCATGCTATGACAAAAGCTATTCATTGACTATTTTCTGATAGGACGCTTGCTGACGTGATATCCGGACATAAAAGATAGCACTAACAATAAGGAACTGCAAAATAACAACCATTAACCAAATTAAAGAAACAGAGGTGAGA